AAAATGAGAAGACGCCTGCCCGAAAAGCCCGTTAAAATGTGAAACACCTCCTGATTAGTTGCGCTTCACTTAATTTCCGGAAATGAGTGGGTAACCAATCTAAATGGGGTTTTCTTGATACCGGAAGTCTCGTCTTCTGACAAAAACAAAAACACAAACAAGTGGAATCGAGCTGTCATACAGCAACATTTTCCGTAATGTCGAAGGAGAGCGCGAATGACAATTGTAGGCTTTGTGAAGTTTCTTTCAAAGTACAGTTCGGCAATCTCCGCAAGCAAAGCCACTCTTCATCCGAGAACCTTTTCAAACCGTCGAAACGGAAAGAGTGCTTTGGTGTTGTTTTGAGCGAAATTTGGTGTCAAGTTGGATTACCATTGACACAAGAATCTTCGAAATATTCCGATCATGTCTACAACCCATGTGGCCGTAAGATTCGAAACTTGGGCCAGTTGTATCAGTTTGTCAAGAAGGCAGCAACTGCAACGACATCTACCGCAGTTAAAACAAGCAAAAGAACTCTAGACACGCCGGAGAAGGCTAGTCCGCCATGGAGGAAATCCAAATCGGTACGTATTAATTCCCCGGTAGGGAAGACTCTATTCAGGGAAGTTTCTCCTGCGAAGTCAAGAAAGTCTCTCGCCTTTGCAGGCGAAAACATAAAGAACACCTCATCTGCTTCTTTAGAACGGGAAAACGAGATGCTTTCTAAACTAAATGTGGAAAATGTTCCGAGCGATGGCGTAAAAATCTTGTATCTTAATCAGTCGGGAAACGTGACTGTGAGAATTCCTAGAGATTCTCAAACTAAAACACTAGTGAAGAACATTGCCGCCAAGAAATGGCGAGAAGTTTCAAATGGAATCCTAAAGCATGTGGAAATTATGCCTGAACTATCTAAAGGAATCTGTAAAACTCATATCAAAGGAATTTGATGAATACATGAAGTCTGAAGTAGACACACGACAACCGCGCTCAAAGGTTTCCCCGTCATTATTTGTTTGATGAGTACCAACATGTACATGTTTCTTTCCCGCACAAACGAAATGAAATTGGCTGGTGATTGACAGACAATTGACCGCCAGTGTTAAGCTGCACCAATCAGAAACTCCGTTCGTGGGCGAACAGAGTTTCCTAAAAGAACAATGACCTCGGGCAGGCAAGATTTTCTTTCCTCCACCCCCTCCCCTATCCTTCCTCTTGGCTATCATTCACCCCCTTGGTAAAACTTTCTCTTTCTCTCCAGTCTTCCACTGCCTGAAAAATTCAAGATGGCAGCTACACTTTTTACGATGTGAGCGCTCGCTCGAAAAAAATCTCGCCTGCTCTGCAGGCTAGCACCCTTGCTTTACCATGTACTTCTTTGATATTGGAAATCCATGTTATAATCAACTGGCATCTGTCAAAACAAGGTATCCGCTGACCAGTATCATATGACCATATCACGGGCTCAAGTTTACATCTCGTTGAGGTCACACATTTTTTTGAAGTTGACGGCTGACCAAGTGCTGGTTTTCGATTGGATTGCGGGCTCATGTCAGGGTAACTTGTTGAAAACAGGACAGGATTGTTTGGAAGGCGGTTAACGCTAACCCAGGATTAAGAGTTAATCGAATTACAACCTTTTCTTCCATACAAATAAAAAAAGATAATAAATAAATAAATAAAACGATAACAAATAAATAAATAAATAAATAGAAAGATAACAAATAAACAAAAAATAAATAAAAAGATAACAGTGCAATCCCTTTTCTGGACATTATCAAATGCCACAGTCATACTTTCTCAACATCTATTTACCAAAAGAAGACCTTTACTGGCCTGTACACAAAATGGGACTCCTTCACACCTAGGAAATACAAAGTAAACCTCATGTGAACTCTCACTTTTCGTTGTTTCCACATCTGTTAGTCACCTTCTCTTTTGCGCTCTTGTTTGAATAAACTGAGGAAGTTGTTGTTACAAAATGGATACCCTGTGGGTGTTACCAATTACAACATTAATGATGTTCTGAACAGGCATCAACGTAAACCGACGAATCCAACCACCACAGTCCCTAAAAAGGAAATAATTTTAGTTCTACCTTATTTAGGGGTACAAAGCAAAATTGTTACCAATCAACTGAAGACCTGCATTTATAAGTTCTATGGCTGCATTAATCTTAGGGTTATTTTCCAAAGCACTTATCGCATCAAGTCTTTATTTCCCTACAAAGATAGGATCAACTGTTCCCAACTGTCAAAAGTTGTGTATAAGGCTAGTTGTTGGGACTGCCAGGATTTCCACATAGGAAAAACAAAATGTAGATTGCATGACAGAAAAACTGAACATTTTAAATTGATCACAAATAGCTGTCATGCTTCTGCATTTGCAGACCACGTCACATCAACTGGTCACAACTTCAAATGGGACCACTTTGATATATTAGCAAAAGGTCGGACAGATACACATTGCAAGATGAAAGAGACTCTGCTAATAAGGGAATTAAAACCCACCCTAAATGATAATGTAAGCAGTGAAAAGCTTTATCTTTATTAGTTTGCATTGTCTATATGCAAATTTTTCTCAGCTTCTGTCATTGTAATTGAAGGCTTTCGTGCAAAAAGGGCATATGTGACATTTTGGGCCGATTTTTATTTTTTGCAGGATCGAGCTAATTTTT